TTCTCTTTACTTCACACGCTGTACATGCAAAGCTACAAAGCAGTGGGGTCTCTTCCCCTGAGTGTTAAGCAAACATCTATAACAAGGCTCTTGCTGTTGCTGTATTACAGTTCCACTGATTAAAAAAAACAGTCACCCCCAAATACTGAAAAAAGTCCGTTGGGCAAGGCAGAAACACGGCCCAGAGAGCTCAGCACCGCGGGTTTGCCATCCCTCATCTTCCCTGCGGCGCTGCGAGCATCCCCAGCTGCTCCGCTCCCAGCCTTCTCAGGGGGGGTTCTATTTTTGTTTCTCTTCAGCATATCTCAGCATTCCTAAGTCAAAAGGCCACATGCATCCTGATTAGGTTTCTCCCATTTTTTATCCAAGCTGACCTTGTCTTGATGGTCATCAGCCTGGAAAAACATGCCTTTTAAATTCCCTCTGCTTTTAAGAACTTCCCACTAGTAAAGGTTACTATAAATACATCCCTGGGAGAGCTAAAAATACTGCGGTATTTGATAATGAATCTATTTTCTCTGCATTTTGTGCAAAATCTGCTCCAGCAGTCAAACAGCCTTAGCAGCCAGCACCGAAAGCCTCATGAAATGGTGCATTCTTCAGAAGGTCAAGAGATGTTTTTGTGCCAGGCACATTATCACTCTGAAATTATAACTCCTCTTCCCATTTGTGAGCGAGCGTTTATCCATTTTTGCACAACAGGCGCACAAAGCCGGATGACAGGGGCTGTGAGTTAACGGTGTGCAGGGGGAGGCACCGACGCTGCCCGGTTCCCGGGCTCGCCGAGCACGAGCAGCTTTATGAGAGGGAGGAAATCACATTACAGGCTTGTTCTCTGCTGAAATAAATAAAGGCAGGCTGTCATGCGTGGTCTTTAAAGATATCACCCCAAGAGTAATGAGAACAGAGGAGAACCTGAAGCACAAACTTCAAGAGCTCAGAAGAGCATCTGGGCCACTCTGTCCACTGCAGAGGCAGCCCAGCTCCAGCTAAGGGCCACCGGGATCGCGGGGAACTGGGAACTGGCAGGTTAGATGCCCGTACTTTGCTTTGCCCAGACAGGGGACCCCTCCCCTCTCGCACACCCGGTGCAGCTCTGCACATGCAGGAGCCAGGACCCGAGCTGGAGATGGAGCAGCAGCCACGGCGCTTGCCAGCGCCAGCAATCCCATAGAACGATCCCTAGCTCCTGGGCGAAGGATAGTTCAGGATTTGTCCCTACACCCATGACCTTGTTGTGCCCCTCGACACAGCGTTTGATTTCTGAGTTTACCTCGCGTTTGAGGACAGCTGGCAAGGCTGAGCGAGGAGGAGGAGATCCATGGGCTGGGTCAGGAAGGTTTTGCTCAATCTTGCCAGGCCAGGGTCCCTTCTCGCAGCCCCCCAGTTATTGGCCGCCCCACGGGGCTCCCTGCCTGACTGCCCTGTCCTCCCCACAGCTGGAAAGACAACCCGGCCATGCCGGAGGGGCTGATATACGAAGGAGTGTCTGACGAGCCCATGGCGTACTCCGGAGGGAGCGCGGCACAGAGCACCGTCCTTCACGCTTTTGACGAGCTCCTGGGGATGCAGCACAGCCAGGAGAGCAGTAAGTCACACGCTTCTCCTTTTCCCTAAGCAAATAAGGGGCAGGGGAAGAACCGAGCCAGAGCGATTCCCTCGGCTGTGCCCAGATCTGCCGGTCGGCGGGACGCACCCATCTCGCCCTTGCAAAACCCTCGCAGAGCCCGGCTGGCACGAGGCTCTGCCCAGCTCGTTAGGGAGGAAGTCTATAAACGAGGCTCTGGCAGGCACTTCCTCGCTGCTATAAATTCCCAGATGGACAGACTGCTTTTTGTGTGTCAACTTGTTACTGAGGTTATATATGGGTACAAAGATGAGGGAGCAGAGCGTGACAGCATCCTGCCAGTAATTTAGCTCATCCAGTCACACAGCTTCACATTAGTCTGGCCCACAACAGAATATATTTATCAGAAATTAGCAAAACCACTCTAATAGCAAAAAAAACCCCCACGAACCCCAAACAACCCAAAACCAACAGGTTGAGAGCAAGGGCTAAAACCTGCCTTTTCGGGTGAAGCTCAAACCTAATGGAGCACTGATCTAATATGGGTTTTCTTCCTCAATTAATTGGAGGGACCGAGACAGGACGGAGGAGAGCAGGAGGCTGCGCAGGGTGTTGGGTACCACCCAGCACAGTGGTCCCCAGGGACCACACCAGCACCGGTGCTCCAGTCCGGCCGCTCCCTGATGGCATCAGGGTGCTTTAACCCACTGGCCCCCAGCTTATTTCGTCCTTTGCTGGTGTCTCGCAGCTGCCTTCCTGCGCAGGATGAGGGACTACATGCCCCCGCCCCACAGAGCCTTCGTGGAGGAGATCCGCCGTGCCCCCTCCCTGAAGCAGCACGTGCTCTCCTCCGGAGACGCGCGGCTCCGCGCAGCTTTCAACCAGTGCGTCTCCGCGCTGGCAGACTTCAGGTCCTTTTTTTTTTGCTGATCCGCGCCTGACTTGCCTGAGGGTTTGCAGTGCTGAGAGCGGGTGCAGGAGACCCAACGGCGCGGGGGTGTCTGCAGCGCACGAGCCAAAATCCCACCCCAGCACTCTTCACCCAAAACCTCCTCCCAGCAGCCCCTTCCCACTCGTGCACGTCTGGGACACAAGGACCGTGCTGGCTTGCTCCAGGCCGTCGAGGGAGAAGAGCACTGTTGCTGCTATACCCTCGAAAGGCATGCAGTGAGCACAGCATCCTTCCACGGCAGCAGGATGAGTGCAGCATCCTTCCACGGCACTGGGATGGGCACAGCATCCTTCCACGGCACTGGGACAGGCACAGCGTCCTTCCACGGCACCGGGATGGGCACAGCATCCTTCCACGGCACTGGGACAGGCACAGCATCCTTCCACGGCAGCAGGATGAGTGCAGCGTCCTTCCACGGCACTGGGACAGGCACAGCGTCCTTCCATGGCACCGGGATGGGCACAGCATCCTTCCATGGCACCGGGATGTGCACAGCATCCTTCCACGGCACCGGGATGGGCACAGCATCCTTCCACGGCACCGGGATGGGCACAGCATCCTTCCACGGCACCGGGATGGGCACAGCATCCTTCCACGGCAC